ATATAGATAAGTATTTATTAATAATAATATAATATCGTAATTATATAATATAATAATAATAAAAAAGTATAGGAGATTATAATGTTATTGTTATATCGTAGTTAATACTGAATAATTAACATTAAAAATCTAAAATATTAGTAAATTGAACATTACGTTTATATGATACTTTCGTTGTATTTAAAATTGTTAAGAAAAATGAAAATTAATAATGAAAATAAAAAATTATTTTTTGGAAGAATTATAAATATAGTAAATTTGTCGCTGTCTTTTCATATTTGCTAGTTTATATTTATCTGGATTTTGCAATTCAATATTAATGTCAGCATATTATATTACATAATGAAGAGTTAAAACTTATTTTCAAAAGAATCGCAAATATTTATGTAAAGTTATAAACATTTTGCTTACTTTTGCTATTATAATTTTAATTAAAATAAAATATTATAATAATTTGTAAAATATTTTAAAACAAATTCACAAACATTCGATAAGCGGTTACAAAATGAAGGAAAATGTATTCAAAGCATCGCATTTATATTAGTAAATATGATTTACAAATTATATAAACATATGTTTTTTTAAATTAACTTATATATATATATATATATATATATATATATATATATATTAATTATCTCAATATAATATAAATTTCTTTTAGCTTACAAATATAAGAGTTATACGGAACTATATTACAATAATTTTACTCCCAATTATATATTTATCTTTATAGATAGAAAGTTTTTTTTAACAAGAACTTATAATATTATCCAAATAAATATTAAGTAAAATTTTATTCATAATTAATAATATTAAAAGTCTAAAATGACCTATCAAACTGTGAATATTTTTAATAAACTTGATCATAAATCCCATATCATTTTTAACATTTTTCTATTATCAGTTGGAATTTAATTGAACAAAGTCAATTCAAACAAGTCATTGGAATGTGTATAAACAATTTCTTTTATTCTATGCGTTATTTCTTACTCTTACAGAATTATATTAAATACTAATTGATTAATTGTTTATGCGTACATATATGCCAAACTCTGAATATATGAAGAGAGAAAAATAGTTGATAAGCACATTAATTTATAATCTAATTTCAAATTTCATAAAGTTTTTAAAAAAATTCTGCAAACATAAATGTATTTGTCATTGATGATTTCATTCATACAATAATTAACCGTTTTTTTTTATAGTCAAAATAATCAATTTCTAAAATTTAAATGAAACTATTGTAATTAAAACTAAGTAAATTCAAAAATTCGCAAGCAACTGTAATATCATATTCTGTTAAGCTTCTGCAATATATGAAAGATGAAAATGTACATTTTAAAATAATTTTTAAAATTCGTTTCTTAATCTGTATAAAAATAGTGTCGTTTACTTTAAAGACTAAAATTACTTTCTTAGTCCTAAAAAATTGCAATAATAAATAAAAATTTAAATAATATTTATTTTTATGTGATGATAAAGTTTTATGCTCTCATTGTGTTAAGACAGGATTATTGAGAAAATTTAACACAAATATTCACTGCATATTATTCAACCTCTTATGTGTATTTAAATGTCGTTAATTATTTCAATTTTCATGTAATATATAATATATTGTCCATCAGCATGAATATTCAGAATAGATTTTATCTTTGCTCGGCTTTCCGAAATTATGTGCATCTTGATTATTCTTTGCCATATGCAGTAACACATTATTATTACTAACGGATTTTCATTAAAGTAATAAATATTTTTTTTTTTTTTTTTTTTTTTTTTTTTTATCGTGACTTCATATAAAATAAAGTATGTGTATAATATGTTTATGAAATTCATATAAAATCGACTTATTCGAGATAATTGGACTTAATTTGCAATCTAAGGATAAAACAGATATATATATATATATATATATATATATATATATATATTTGATTAATTGTTTTTAATTACATTTAGTTAAATGTAGAGATAAAATTGTTAAATATGGAAAGGTTATATATAGACCTTTGTAATAACAATGAATAAAGAAATAACTGTTTGAGTGAAACTTATTCTGTAAATTAATGAAAAGCAAATAGAGTCTAAATAGAGTCTTTTATTTTCAAAAACAATATCTTTCCTTTTTTTCTCAATTGAGTCTTATGAAGTTATTACACGATAAAAAAGACCTTATAAAAAATAAAATAGCGAGCTAGATCAAGTAATCAATCTTAAATTGCAGTATTACAGAAAAGTGTACGTTCACGTGTGTAGGTGTAGTAGTGAGCGAAGCCAATGATGGAGAGAGAATAAGTTAATTATAAAAGCTACCGATGTTCACTTAATGACAATAAAATTTAGCATCGAGTTTCATTGTAAAGAGTAATAAGTTTTCATTTTTCATTTATTGGACGAACTAAATGTACACAACCTGTTGTCAATGTTTTGTAAAATTATCAAACGTTAATCACAATACTTTTTGTAATAAATTTCTGTCACGTGCTCATTGACATATGTAAAATCTGATTGTCCTACGCGTGCTAAATAACCTTAATTATAATTTGCGATATTAAAATAAAATTAATGTAGATCCATTTGTTATTTGTGCAGTTATTTAATAAGAAATCTTTAAAAAAAAGCTTATCGATTTTGTCATTACTCTACCTAAATAGTACATATAGAAAAGGTATTTATTGTCTCGAGTTGGCAATGTAGAATATGAAGAAACTTGTAAAGTCGATAGAAATCTACTTTTACATTAAAAATCACGAGTCAGGTGTGGAATAAAATAATGAGCTTAGAAAAAAGTCATTCAAATATTATTCTTATTACTGTAGTAATTAATAATAGAAAAATCACGATAAAAATTAGCTATAATAATTCGTATTTAATATAATGCAATTTAATATATATATATATTTTTTTTTTTAAATAATAGAACATATTGAAATTTATTCTCATAATAGACACTTATTAAACAATTCTAGCAATTTTTGCAATATATAATTTATATTTCTTTGCGTTTATTAAAGTCTAAATCTATTATAAATTATTAAAGTTATTATACTTATATATATATATTCACTCAATTCTTGTAATGCATTTCAATAATTCTTATCTGTTTTAAAACTATTCTAACAATATATATTTTAATTCTATATAATCCAATATATACTATATCTCTGTGTCATGTAATGATTATTAATTATTTTATATATTATGTGAATATATATATATATATATATATATATATAATGTATATTCTAATATATTTTCAACTGAAAGACGTCACATTTGTTTGCAAATGAAATAGAATGATAATAAATACTTATAATAATATATTAGAATAAAAAGATATTATTTTTTAAATAATATATAATATATGTAAAATATTTGAATAATGTTATATATTATTAAGCGTATACTACTAGTTCGTAAACAATAATAATAGAACGCAGTGCAATATTTATTTTATACAACATTTGTTTCATTACTAATTGAATGTGTAGTGATTCAGTAAATAATGAAAAATTAAGCAACAACAATTTAACTAATAACCACAGCTATTTTTATCTATTGTTTCAATTTTAATCTCACTACTATACGTCGTACAAATAAGCACCAATCGATTTTAATTTACTAGAAGTTCGTTGTTCGTAATTCACTTTTTATTACGTATTTAAAATCTTTGTATTATTTTCTACTCAAAAGAAAATATTAATATTGGTAATTGCAAAATTACATTTTAAAGAAAACTTGATTATCACATGATTTTTTCCGAATACATATTTAATTTAGAAAATACTTTTATACTTTTTACAAATTCTTCGACTGGTGTCTACTTTTGTTGTTAATAGTTAAATTGTTATTTCATTAAACTACAGCAAAATAATATTTAATATAATCAATCGTACAAGTGTATAATTTTTAAGGAACTTTTTCTTAATTTTAAGCAACCAAGATGCTCATTACGAATTTATATTTATATTTGAAATTGAATATTGTATATTTAAAATAATTATTATCATATTTATATTTATAATTGACTTTCTAACCTTCATGATAGTAATCCGGTCAATATGAACAGTGAAGATTAATAAGGTAACAACTACTATTATTAGTGAAATGTGACATTACAATAAAGTTATTTTTATTAATATTAATTCTGTTTTCTAAGTTCACTTAAATACTTTTTTAAAATGAACAATATTATATATTATTAGACTCTGTGACATTGATTTGTATTTATGATATTACGTCGAATGATATGATATTTTCCTAAATAATATCTTATATATAATAATATGAATTTGCATTTTTATTTGCATTATTCATTATATTTAATATAAACACTTCTGAGTATGAGAGATATACTGATATATTTGGCAAAATGTATGTTTTTGAATTTTTTAAATTGAAGGAAAAACTTGTTTTTTTTTTGTTTTAGTATGTATAATCGTACTAGCAAATCGTGATATTCGCATTAGTACGTTTAAATCGATTTTAATTATGTATGTACCGAGATTTTAAATTTTGTCAAAAATTACCGCCTTCCTAGCTTGAAGAAATTTTATTTTCATCTATGGCTCTTCGGTATATTTTTCAGTTTTCAATATTTCTGAAAAATATCCCAAACAAGTGTCGTCAGTGATGATTTCTTTTCCCAATTATGGTGTTATTTACTTACATTAAAGCTCATGTTTAATGTTTGACTTTACAATCTTAATAAGCATTATAATTACTAATAAAATATGCAATTTGATAAACGTATTAACAAATGAAAAAAAAAAAATTATTTTACGCTGCAGTTAAGGAATGATATAATTTTTCATCGGCGAAATGACAACTGATCATGTAATTAAAGTTAATTGAAAATATAACATTTCATAATAATTAATTTACGTTGTTGTTGTTGTTGTTGTTGTTGTTGTTGTTGAATGTCTTAATATTCTATTACGTTATTAAATTCGGGATGTCATTTGAATATCATTTTCGCTATCCAATTTGCTTAATTACAGTATCTTGTGGAGGCTGGATGGGCATCGGACGACAAAATTATCGGCATCACTGAGCCGCGAAGGGTCGCGGCTACATCCTTGGCAAATCGCGTCGCTGACGAGAGGAATTGTATTTTAGGCACCGATGTTGGTTACGCAATACGCTTCGATGACTGCACGGATAACACGACAAAAATCAAGGTACACTTTTTCCAACTTTCAACTTATTATATCTTCGATCTTTCTTCTTTTATACAGAACGTCGAGAATTTGAAAGTAATTTTTAAATTGTTTTCTTACAGTTCGTAGTTTACTTTTTTTTCTCGCTTATTCTAAAATATTTTTATACCTCAATGTTCTCAATAAGGATTCACCGCAATATGTAATATATACATGTATACGTAAATTAAGTATGCATTATGTAAATACATATTTGCTTCTAATTTTCCTTATCAAAATGTACGCAACTTGTGGAAATGTTAGTTGTTTTTTATGAAGTTACCAGATATTCATTTAGTTGAGAAAGAAATATTTTTATATCATAATATTGTAAGATCTTAAACGTAATTGATAAATAATTTTATAATGAATAAAATTTGTTTTTGAAATTTTAGACTGTCTTATGTTATTTTGTCTCCGATCTCTCCGTCATATCGATTTTAATAGCTCTTAGTATTACAAATTTTGTATATTAAAATATTAATGTTATGTAAAATAATTGTTACAGTTTTAATAAACTGAATAAATATGACTGAAATAGATTGAAATAGACTTTCTAAAAATTAGTGTTTATATATTTATAAAAGACTTTCCAGTTGTTTAATATATTAAGAAAAGAAATTAATAGTATTAAAATAAAATACGAGAGTTAGTTTCACGTATATTAAGAATTATATATATATATATATATATATATATATATATATTTTTTTTTTTTTTTTTTTTTTCACTA